GTCATTATATTATTTTGCCTTTCACTTGATGTTTGTCCCCGCTTTATCATCCCATTAGCTCGAGAATAATGATAATGTTTCTCTTTTTCTGATAAAATAATGATATATAATCGAGATAGTGGCTCGTGACCGAACCAAAAGGTTTATAAATAGTTCCTTAACCGCAACTTTAGGCTTGATTTTAAGCCTTTGATTGTAAGTTGTTCCCTTTTTTTTTTTTGACAGTAAATTAAGACAACCAACTATAATCAAATAATTAAACTCATATAAAAATCCATTCCCGTTGGGCCTAATATGCCACAAAAATAAAATATAAAAAAATATTCCAGCATAAAGTGATTGTTTTTGCAATAAAGATGAGGAGTGATGTATAGTTAAAACTAGAGGTGTTCATGGAGCCCAGTAGCCCGCTACGCCCGCCCAACGGCCCAAGCCCGCAAGAAAATACCCAGCCCGTCCTAAAAAAAATGGCCCAAAAGATATATTGGGCATGTTCGGGCTGGGCATCGGGCACGGTATGCTGCCTTGCCCATTTGGCCCTGCCCGCAAAAATATATATTATTTTATTTATATATATTTTATTTGTCTCATATTTATCTCCTGAATAAAACACATTGTTGCATCAATATTCAATATTCATTATACTTATTTATTTTCAAATGATTTTGAGAGTAAACGTGTTATCATTTACTGCAATTTGTATAACCATTTTCTTTTTTAGTACAAACATTATGACCATTAGCAATTTATATAATTGATCCATGCTCTTATGAGTATTTGGGAGTTATGGAAAAAAAATATTTACATTTGGTTGAGAAATTTTAGAAACTAGAAAAGCAATTAAGTTTAATAAAGTATACTAGCAACATTTTTGTTTGTCATAATTTACTCCTCTTAGCTACTATAAAATGTTGTTTCATAATATATTAAATAGAAATAACTAAATTAAGGTCAAGTTGCCATTTTAATATAAAGTTACATTAGATTATCTAGAGGAACATAAATAACTAGTTAAGTAATATAGTATATTGATTTGCTGGGCATAGAAGCCCGCCCTGCCCAGTCCGCATTTGCCCAACCCGAATTTACTAGGGCTTTTCATGGGCAGGGCCGGGCAATGGGCTGCATTTTCAAGCCCGTTCATTTTTCGGGCTGGGTATCGGGCAAGGGTCTTGTCCTGTCCAGCCCTGCCCATCTGCAGCCCTAGTTAAAACATATTGTCAAAGCTCGAAATTTTAAGACAGAAGCTCCCTTTAAAAAAAAAAAAATGTATGTACTGCATAAATAAATTATTCGGAGCAGCAAAGAGCAAACATAATGCACTCTACACCTACACGTTATAACTATAATAATAACATATAATAATTGTTGACAAAATGATTTAAGTCCAATGGATTACCATGAGAGAGAAAACTTTGCTAAGCAGCAAGCAAAATGACAGAGATTCTTCGCAAGCTGAATTTATGAGACAGATATACGAGACAGATGAGATTTATGTTGTGTCTCATGCACTAAGCTCCAATAATTGTCTCTTTCTCATGTTATGTTCTCCTCTATAGATTTAACCACCGCTTCTGCTTAACAAGAACTCACAATTTTTATCATCCATTATGTAAATAATATAGATTTTAAGACGACTTTTGTTTTCCCTGCCATATTAAGAATGTTAAAAACCGCTTTTATCTTGCTTCCTGCTTCATCGGAACGTGTTAAGATAACAAAAATATAAAAAATATTACATTAATTTAAAACGTTTTAAAGATGTCACTTAAGAAATACTGATTATGCGTGTTAATAATACCAGAATTTGGCATGTTTAATAATAACGCTGTAATAAAGTGAAAAAGAGCATGGGAAGCAATTCTAGCAAAAGTATTTTTAAAAGGCTGGACAATATCAAAGCGAAAGAACTCGTGCGGCTTCAACTTTAACGTTGAAAACAAACACAATAAATAATAATCACTTCTGTGATGATTCCATTTGTTCAAAAGCTGCTTCCAAACCTCACCGTTGCATTTTAAAACGATTTTGTTCGATGAACAGCCACCACTATTTATGAAGCAGATCTTGCGGGATACTGCCATTGCAATAGCCCCAGCTTACTTATTATCCCTAGCTACACACTTTGGAGGACTTACCCCGTGAATTCTGATTCGTTGTTATTATCGGATATTATATTGTTTGTTGTGAAAAACACAGTACAAAAAAAAAAATTATTTAGCCAAATTATGGACATAGTTGGCCCCAGTATGTAAGAGACGCAATCAAATCAACATCTTCATCAAGTATTAAAAACACATAGGTTATGATCAGGACCTACTTTGGTTGTTTATAAAATGATACATATGGCAGGTAAGAATACTAAGTAGTAATCATAGCTTTCCTCCTTTTTTCCTTTTTGGGATTGGCCAAATATAATTATAATTTGTTTTTGCCAGCGCCAAACATAATTATAATGATTAGGCATAAGAGAAGAGAATGAAAATCTTTATTTTCAATTAATTAACTTTTCTGATGAAGATTTCAATCAAAAGCACATTGACGTAAAAGAAAGTGCATGGACTAAACTTTCTCAACGAAAGTGAGGTGCTCCTCTGCAAGATGGAGGAACAGGCCTCTTTATTAAATTTAACAAGAACACAGTGTGAAACAAGGAAAATAAGAAAAATGGAGTTTGACACAAAACAAATGTATCAAATTACAATGCTATTTCAGCTTGATGCGGGATCATTAGACACACAAATCAAGCATCCCCCTGGACCTTGATCCCTGAGGCCGGCATGAAAAGTGAGGTGGCCAGGTAGGTTGAGCGTGCAAGGGTCCACTTTTATGGGCCAGACAACGATGAGCCTAACAAGCCCAAAAGCCCAGAGTCAGAAAATGCCCAATAGGCCTGAACTCAGCCATAAGCCTATACCTTGATTTAAAATATATGCATAGAACTACCAATGGGGGTTGGGTCTAGCGGAAGGAGCTAGTCCCTCACAACGTGACGAACCAAGATTCGAATCCCCCCTGATAGAGGTACCCACATTTAGTGCTCGACAGTGTCTCGAATAGGATTGCCTCCAATAGGAAGATACATATGCTTTAGCAAATATATATATATATATATGTGTGTGTGTGTGTGTGTGTGCATAGAACTCGCCATATTTTCATTAACCATGTTTGGATGGAGAGAAAATAGGGGAGGAAAGAAAATGAAAGGGAAAAATAGGAGAAGAAATGAGTTTTTCTCTGTTTGGATGAGGGGATAAAAGTGAGAGGAAAGAAAAGTAGGAGAGAAAACAGAATGTAGGACCCATTTTATTTTCTCTCCAACTTTTCTCTTTACATATGGAGAGAAAATGAGAAGAAAACTCATATTCTCCATATGCCCTCTTCAAATATAGTTCAATAATATTACATTCTATCTTTAATGCAAGTTTTTCTTTTTAATTTTATTTATGACCACTTTATAATTCAAAGAAGTAAATATGTGAGCAAATTTGTCTTGATCAAAGAAGTACTTTTAAAAAGCACTTCCGGGAATATCCAAATACACCGAAAAAGGGACCTTTATATTCATCAACTATTTAGTGGAAGGAGCTATTCGAATTCTCTTTAGAGGCGCCTCCGATAAAAGAATACATATGCCTAGTGAAATAAAAGGCTAAGATGTGAGGAATACATATTTTTTTCCATTTATAAATTAAATTGTCTCTATTCGGATCATACACCCGCTGTGTTAATGGAAGAGATCAAACATTTGTCATATCTTGGTGAATTGGTCTGATAATAAATATGGGAATAAATTGTATACAAGGCTTGTCCTTGTTTAATTTGTTCTTCACCAAAGCGGGAAATCATCAACGACTAAACTACCTCACCATGATTGCTCGTATTTGTGAATTGTGATACGAATTGTTGATGTTTGAGTGAACTTGTTGTGGGACTTAGGACTATTTTGATTTTAATAATGTCAAAATTGAATTTCATTCTTTTTTTTTTTCTTCTTCTCTTGATAGAAGAGCTTGATGAATTTTGCTTTTACTTGCTCTTGTTGGGGACAAATATATCCATGTTAAAATCAATTTTATTTGAAACATTGTGTGGTATCACCTTTCCCAACATGAATTCAAACCCTAATTTGTCATATTATAAGGAATTAACTCTGTCCGTTAGATCCAACTCCTATTAGTTACTCAAGCGAAATTAACTAGCCTAAAGAGACCAGAAGTGAGGAACATAGTTGCAGCTAAGACCATAATACTATTCAAGTTTTACATCATTCATTATTCATATTTGCTATATTGATTTTAATCCCCCTTCTCTTCAAAATTAACCAGGTGTGTTTAGTCTTGAATTTGAAAGGTATGGCAATCACAAGTCTCAAATTGACAGATTTTGACCACTTTATGGTTTCTGCGGAGTAAACTTATCATGAAGCATTTGAAATTGTGGTGAATTCGCCGGTACATCATCTGGTCAAGATGTGATTTTGACCAGAATCAACGTTTTACCAAGCACCCTGCATTATAGTTGCTGAAGATTCCAAATCAATTTCAAGTTTTAATGATGACAATGTCTTATTGGCCAGCAAGAATAAAATTAGAGTAGAAAAAAATTATATTGTCAGTTCTAAATGAATTTCATATTTCACTGGATGGAGCAGTGGCCGTGGTTAACCATAAAAACATAACGCGTTGTTCTGTACAGAGAAAACAGGGTGATTGTTTCTCTTGCACCAACTCCAGTACAGTCGACTTTGTTTTTTTTTTTTTTTTGTCTAGCCTAAAACTTGGATTCTGGAATTCAAACAAGTGATTATGGAAAATGATTCGTGCGAACTTCACAGATAAATAATCAGACTCATAAAAATTCTACCGCACAGATCCTAATCTTCATCAAATTAGTCTCCAATCTGATAACACCACTGAAAGCTCTTTTTCTGGCTTTGCCGCCATTAGTATTTCAATTGCGTATTTGCGCTCAACTCTCTCAGAAAGGCGACGTTTAAGTCTCGCATCAAAGAATTATATTGTGTATAAATATCTATAATTCTGGGCAATCAACCCAGAACTACAAAACAAACAGCAATAGTTTTTATTTACATAAAAGTGCTGTAAAGCTTGGAAAAAGGAAAAGAAATCGAGGTAGATTTGGGGCAACATCATATTGTTTCATCCACCGCATGACAATTTTTCCCTTCAGAATTTTTTTTTTTTTTTCATTTCCTGCATTAACCTCCCTGCCTTGGTCACAGTGATCCAGAGCGATCTTTCGGTAAAACGTGTGTAGAAGAACTCTTGGCGTTTATTGGGCTTAATCTTTAAACTTCCCTGACCTATATCATCTTCAATAAAATAGCGAGTCTGGATTCAAGCGCCACTGCAAAGATCAGTAGGATCATGTTTGTGAACTTGAATTGTAATCTTTTCGTGTTTGGGAGGATTACAAGGACACGCCATGGCTATGAACCTTGGAACCTCATCTCCTGGCATCAATACAGGCAAGCTTTGAACCTCGCTCTGTTTCATCACCTGCCACAAAAATCAACAACGTTTTTGTTTCTTTTTCTGGGCATGAACAAGAGATTATCAAGTAATAACCAATGATGATACCAAAAGGACCACGTATATACCACAAGAGGAGGCGCAGGTTTGTGGTGAGAGGAAGGTAAATCTGGAGATGAGTGAGAGTGATGAGTGGTGTAAATAAGGCCGTAAGAACGAAGCAGAGCTTGAATTTTATCCCAGTGCAGGCAGCAGCAGAAGAAGCAGCAAATGAAGAAGAACAAGGTGAAGAGAAGAGCCAAACCCAGAGGGAAGCCTATGGAGACTCTGGCCGATGATGTGTCGTCAATCTCCATCCTCCTCATGTCAAATGCTTGACAACAAGGCGTTAAATAAAAGAGGAAGATTCATAAAGGACCCATTTGAAACAGCTTATAAATAGTTTATAAGCTGCCTTTCAATAGTGATTTACAAAATATGAGGTAAGTATGTGAGATGAATTTTATCTCAATTTATATAAAATGTACTTATAAGAGATTTCTACTGCTCTGGCCAACGAGACCAAAGTAAAAGAGAAAAGAGAGCAAGGGAGTTGCTTTACATTGATGGCGCTGTTGCCTGATGTGATGACGATGATGGGGCACTATGTGGTTTAGTGGAGGTTTGAGTGTGACATGTTTATTTATTATTGAATGTGCGTGTGTTTTGATGAGCGCGTGTGGTGATCAGGCATGGCAATATGAATGGTACAATTTCCGTTTCGTACGGAGGAGAAAAGAGTCTTCGTAGTCCTGCCTATGTACGACAGTTTTATGTGTTTAGTTAAGGGGAAAATTTTGCCTTCTCTCTAAGGCTGGCTTGTCTTGCTTGTTAAGATTTTCATGGCCTAATGAGTTGGAGGGGAAGAGCCTTGGGGAATTGATTAGAGCTGTCTCTTTTAATGTATAGGAGGCAGATATCCACCTGAGCCTAATTAATTGATTACTAATTAGCTAATAATGGAACAGAAAGTACATAATGATAAGCTAAGAAAACAAAGCTAATTAAAGCCTTCAGAATTTGCAACAAAACATTCTCGTCAACTCTAAAATCACCTTCCCTGTCATTAAGCTATAAGAGGAAGATGAGAGGTGAATTAAATTGTCATAAACTTAAATCTCAGAAAACCAACTTATTAAAAAGAAAAATCTTTACCGAGAGTCAATATTCCTAACAGCTCCATATCAGGGCACTTAACTCGACCTTCTGTTGATAAAATTTTTTTATCATGAACATAAGTTCAGAAAGAGAATATATCCCAAAAGACTAGCATATTATGAGATATAACTATTGATTTATAAACCACGCCACACTTGTGAATATTCTCAATACAAGTCTCATACACTGTGTTTGGATCAAAGTTTTCCAACTTTAAACTCAAGTCTGCATAAGAAGGAAGCATATTGGGAGAATGGAATTGGAAAGCGGAACGAACGATGTAGGAGTAGGACCTGCGTTTTGGCCTTGTGAAAATGGCAACATGTGTAAATGTGATGTTGGGTATGGTGGTAGTCACAAAGTGGTGGGTGGATGCGTGAGAGGTGAGACTTTTGACAAGCGCATAGCTTTCGGGGAAGTGGAGGGGTGTACAAGTGTTAAGCACGGCCACTTATAAAAAAGCCTCTCCTTCCTCGCCCCTTCATTTTGCGCCAACGTATCCTTTACTTCCCCAAATCATACCATTTTTTATTGCAAATATCACTCATCCCATATATTGCATTTTGTTGACCTGAGCTTCTAATATTTAATAAATTAAATAAACCAGCAATTTTTTCATGCGCTGAGTGTACATTGAAATTAGGTCGTCATGGTCTATATCGATCAAGTTTGGGACTCTGAGGTGGAAAGCATTATAATCAGGATGCCCTCTTTGCTAAATAAAGCTTTTTGGTAGTGCTCCTTTCCATCGTCAGAATCCCATGGGCTTTTCATTTCTGCACAGAGACCCACCCTCTTTCGCTTCAATCAGGCAAAATGCGTGGGGAGAGAAGAGAAGGATATGTAGGGACCAATGGAAGAGAAAAATAATATTGAAGACCATGAATTTATAAAATGACAGTGAAGGATAAGGTTAATGAATAAAATACCCTCCCGTGATTAGAACAAATAGCTTAATTACAAAATTTAAAAGATTAATTAATTGCGAATGTTTCATGATCTATGGAAGTTTTTCAAATTTTAAAAAATTAATTATAAATTTGGCAACTCAATTGTAAATGCTTAAAACTTAAGTGCAAGATCCTACGAATTCATATGTAACTAAGTTTTTGGTATTTATAACCGAGTTTCGGATATGTATAATTTATAAAATTTTCATAATTCATAATATATTTACAATTATTTTTTTCTGTGTTTACAACTAAATTTGTGAGATTTGCTCCAAATGGTATGGCATGGAGACTTTCCTTTGTATGGGGGGGGGGGGGAAGAAAACCTTTCTCAGATATGCTGGATGGTCGTCGCTAATTACTTTGGAAAAACTTATGGTTTTCGAATCCCATTTTACTAAATTTTTCTGTTCATTTCTTGCGGGTTTGAAGATATGTAAGAACTTGATTGAGCAACCCAACAATATAGCTGCAGTTCATCTTATAACTTTTAACTTGAGACCATGAATAATCATAACACCAGCCTCCAATAATTAAGATGGAACTGGCTGACGTTCAGCCAAACGAAGGCCATACATCTCTAAGAAATGACAGTGCTGGCTAATTAAACTTGATACCATATCGAGTAAATGAACATGGGTAATTACGGCACATATGTGTTCTGATGTTGATAATGCCATTGTTTATGGATGAGTTACAATAAGTTTTGAAGTTCAGTTATAAGTAACTTCCATTATGCCCGGTCAATTGTATTGGCTGTATCTTTGGAGTTGAGCTCACGTGTATACAGCTCCCGCATTTCTTGAGTCAGGTCTCGTCATATATAACTCAGATTCTAGCTAGTTGGGTCTTGAAGCTCACTGAATAATTTTGATGGCAACATACTGTTCAAGAATGTCCTTGCACTAAATAATAAGGGTGAAAGAAAAAAAAGGACGAAGAGCCACATGTAAAAGGGGAGAAGAAAAAAAATGGAACTTTACTCTTGTTACAGTATATGCAGATCATCGTGGCCCGTCCCTTCGCATATAAATCTCATAGTGCTAAACATAACGGAATTCACGGGCAATAACTATTTTTTTATCATTCATAAATTTCATCACATTCACATAAACAGATACAATTCGAATTCCCCCCACAGTCTTAGATTGAAATCATTGGCATGAGTCCTTCAAAACCACTGCCCAGTTGACCAAAAACGGACGTATGAGAGAGAAAAGCCGACTAAAACAGAAGGCATTATGTTGCTTCTGATGAAGAAATGATGATCTACCATTTTTATGGATCAAAGAAAGAAAAGAATTCAATTAGCTATACCTTTCACTCATAAACCTCTTCGGAATCAAATAGTCAAAAGTCCCTTCTCCTAATGCATAAAAGCTATGAAGTCCAGTAGTTTCTGTCTTTCCTTTCTTCATATACTTCTTGTCCTCACAAACATCTTCCTCCATATCCCGCGCTTCTAAATAACGCTTGCTTTATATCTCCCGAACCCAGTATCGTCCTGTGCTCCAGTTCCTGTTCCATATTTAAATGTGTTACTGGAATACTAAAGGATGTTAAATTAAAGTAACACACGTAAATAAATAAGCAAGTAATGTACCTCTGAGCAAGAAGCCTGCATCGTGAAATCATTGAAGCAGCTGATAACACATTGCTGAATCTCAAGCCCGAAGGCTTCCAAGGTGTTCACTGCAGATAGCAACAAGCCTGGCTTCCCTGCACAGCATATTTCAACCCTCGTGTCCACATTCCTTCTCTCCACATCAAACTGTGATAAGTGAAATAAATAAGTTGGGATCTTTCAATGCAGATTTTGACTGCGTTAAAACTAAACAAGGATGTTGGCGGTGAATACTGGAACTAAAAGTCCGTACCTTGGGTGAATTTCTTGCTGTGATTTCATTTGGTCTCGCATCCTTCAAAACGCCCACCATGTTTGAATCCAAGTCTATTTCTTGCTGCAAATCTTTAATCTTCTCCAGAAGTTCTTTCATGTAGTCTATCGTGTCCCCAAGTATAGATGTTCTATCCATCTGTAAAGAACATCGAGCAAAAGCAATGATTATTAGTTCTGCAAAACGACACCAGTGGGATAATGCGTTTAACGAAAAATTTTGAACATTAGCTAACTTACTGCTCCCTCACCTTACTAATCTTGGGGACAATAGATCTTAGCATGGAGAGACGATCATTTAGCCTCTTTCTTCTCCTCCTCTCAGCCATTAGATTCTTGGAAGGCTGTCGCAGCAGTTTCTTGGCGGGTCGATTCTTTCCTTCCAAATTACAGGTGCCCATGTTGAAAACTGGCATTTCAGGAGAGTGGCTGATAGGCTCTCTCTTACATGTCCTTTTAAGATCCAAACTCTGAAACTCTTCTCCAAACAAACCCTCTTCCTCCATCATGGACGAGAAGGGGTTATTCTCTTCTTGAACCGGAAAAGAAGGGGGGCTAAGTGAAGTAGTAGTATCGAGAGTGGTGTAGGGCGGTGACGAATCGATGATCTGGGGTGCAGAGAACTCATCAAGTAATGAGCTGTAGATTTCGTTGAAGGTACTATGGTTGTTGTAGTTTTGAGGTAGCTGTTGATCAGAGAAAGAATTTGGGAGAAAAGCAAAAGAGTTTGGATCAAAGCAGTCCAAACTATTATAAGCACTGGGGAAGAAGAACCGGTTTTCTTCATTTGGACTTGGAATTGTGTCCCATGCTTCTCTTCTTAGAGCTAGTAATTCCTCCAAGAAATCATATCCAGACACCTCCATTTCTCCTCTTGTCCTTCTCCTCCTCCTCCTCCTCCTCCTCTCTCTCTCTCTCTCGCGGTCTGTGTTTCTCTGGCTATTGAAATTGCTGATTTGTCTAGGGAACACTATGAGAACACGCAGGGCCAAGTTGGAGATTTATAGTGGCTCAGGGTAGCGCTTCTGCCAAATTGATTAATATTGTATGCATTATGTATTACGTATTATTTTGTATCTATTAGCACCTACTTGCCTATGTCTGAAATGGAATCTGCTTTCTATCATCTCTCTCTCTCTCTCTCTTCGGGAAGGGTCGTTCATTGTGTCTTTTTCACCGAAATCTGAGCGATCATGAAAAAATTAAACCAAATATTTAATTGACAAACTTTCAAAGACAACTTTGACCCTCGCATCTGTGTGGAACCCAAAAGCATGGAGTTATTACCCTCGCCTTGGCAGGTTCTTTGTATGTTAAAAGCTCTCAGATATAAATAGTCAGGAAAGGAAGAAGTTTTTCTGAGTTGGGTCCCACCCTTCATTGCCACAAAACTTTGGCTTAGCTCACAAATTCAAATGAGTTGGTGATCTATTTTTGTTCCTTCTGCACTCCCACCTTTCCTATCCATTATACTTTAGCAACTTGTTCATGCTATCCCCTATACAAGAAAGAAAAAATCTACACAACAATCTATTTATATATCCTTCATTCTCAGCGTATAATAAGATTATATATATACATACACACAGCAATATACTAATAATAAAGTAAATTCATATATAAATGTACAAGGTCTGGCTTATGTATGTGGATTTTTCGTATAACGAATAAGCAAACAGTAGCGCACAAGTCAATTCTATAGATTTGCCTTTTGGCTCGTGTTGTGAAACCAATGGGGATCGACAAGTTGTCTTCTTGTAGGGCTCTCTGCTCTGTAGGTAGCTTTTCTGCGTCTCTTCAGCTCCTGTCGCTCCCACCTAGTAGAAGACAAAAAACACTAATTATCGTCGTTGTTGTTATTATCGCCGTTGTAATGATAGCGGTTTTTCTCGGTTGTTAGGGTTTCTAAAACTAACTACCACGTCTAGACATAAACCTCTTTCACATCCTTACAAATTTGACTCCTCCACATCGCTCACTTTGAAGCACAAGCCTCTTGATTTGCACGTAAATTATGGACTGACGGAATCGATTCTTATTCTAGACCATACTATCTCATATCATTAATATAAAATAAAAACTAATTCATTAATTTGAGTAGATTAAAAAAATTAGTTAAGTTAGCTATTTGTAATAAATAGGTGTTGTTTTTCTTAAAATACTATTACTGGTCATGTGTATTAGTTAAATCTACCGTTTGATAAAACATTGGCTACCTTAGAAGAAAAAAATAGATAAATATAAAAGATAAAGTGGATTGAGATCTTATATTCAAAATCAAATTAAATGTCAAACTTACGCTTATATTAAAGATTGGAGGTAGCATTATTCACAAAATTAAAATCCAAGTGATTTCACAGGCGTTTTGGCGTTAGATTTTTTTAATAACATATACGGAGAAGTCTATCATCCTATACCATGCTAGGATCCCTGATTTGCAACATGAATATTTCTGACTATTGGATAAGCATTGTAATTTCTGAGATGTCATTGATATTTCTTAATGGGGCTATGGTTGTAGCTTTATTATTGGAGAAGAGGATAGAATTCTCGGGTTTCTCGGTGACGAAAACGATTCAAGGTTCTGATGTTTCTGAAAATGCCATTCTCAGGAAAAGATAAAGCCCAAATTCTCTTGTTTTCTGGGAATAATTTCAACCTGGAGGAATCTGAGCCACGTGCTATTGATCTGTAGACTTCCCTAACAAAAAATCATTTCGCAAATTAATACTATCTCCACTACTCCTGAATACTTAATCAGGAAATAAATTAATTTAAGTTATTTACAATAAATATATAAGTTAATTTTCATAAAATACAGTTTTTAATCATTACGATACTTAGATAAAAGTTCTCTTAACATAAATAATCTATAAGAATATTTTAAATACGGAAGACAGAATAGAGTAAATTGAGATCATATGTCTATAACTAAATTCAACTCTGAATTAGCTCTTATAATACTGATTTGAGTTTTTTTAACCAGCAAATGATTTGAGTTAGTATAATGCCAACCACATTTTACAACCAAAAAAATAAAAATAAAAGCCCCGTTTGTTCTTTTTTTATTTTTTATTTGGTTTCGTTTTTCATAGTTTCTTTAGGCTCATCCCAACCGTACTTGGTGTGTAAAACTGGGTAATTTTCCTGCGAATAGTTAACATTTTCTATCACGTGCGTGGGGTTAAGTCTATGTACTCACCTAGCTGGCATGTGAAAATGGCTTCATAAATACCGGGCATACAAGAATTGTTTAGGTAGAATCTGTGCCTACAGGAATCACACTAGCTAGCCATGCATATATAAACAATTAGCCATGAATTTTGTTATATATTCATCTTTCCTCATATATATATATATAGATAATCGTATTTTTATTCAGTAAAATGACACATAGTAAATGAAACATATTCTAACGCACACAGTTGTGCATAGTCGATAAATAGGAAAAGAATTCATATTCCACCTCGGAACGTCCCTTGCCTGCTACTTAAATAATGAACATCGTACGAGAAAATGACGAGCACATGAAAAGTCCAATATGAGTGGTGGTTGTTTATTTATGCATAAAATATAAGACTAAACGAAATGATGAAAAGCAAGCTAAGGGAACCTGCTGTAGCAATAAATAACCAGGACACACAACGGATTTCACGAAAACTTTGTTGAAAAAGAGTATGAAATGATTAGATGCGAACTTGCTTTTCTGGAATTAATTTCAGCGCTTCAAAAAAATTAAGTAAGGAAAGTGGGGAGTTATGTGATGCCTCTCGATTTTACCATGCATTTCATGTTTCGACTTTTGTTAATTAATTAGTAATAGTTTGGAATTTAAATGGTCATTGTGTTTTGTCTAGTTCGTGACTTTCCCGTAGCTTCCTGTGAATTTTCCTCAGCAGCCAGCTCCATTATTTGTTATAATGATTGTAATTAATGGGAGTCTTCAAGTCAATCATTTAACTCAACAGACCAATGCAAATATTTAACTAATCAACGGTAGGCCGGGCTGATAGTTCTCGGCAACATTCATTCTCTGGAAATAAAAATAAAAATAAATTACGTATCGTATAGTAATCCCCTGTAAGTGACAAAATTTTACAAATAAGAACAAGCCGATCTCCTAATAATAACTCAGTGAACAGACAGATTCTCACAGACGTGGACAAATAAAATAACAGCAGCTTTATTGAAAAACAAATTATAATTTGCCAGTTTGGATGGGCTGTTTTGTTTCAGAAGAATAACGCAGAAAATAAGGAACGAGAGAAAGAGAATGCAGGGTGTGTTTTTCAGGGAATCTCCTTATAAATTGCTGCGAGGAATATAATTCCGTTTTGTCATGTTAGTGATATTTAATTAAGAGAAGATTGATGACATTATATCCTTCAAAAACCACCAAAAGTTTCATTGCAGATTTTCATTAAGCCGACAACAAATGACTCATCGCTCAAACCCATAAACAGCCATTATACTGCTTTCCTCTCTCATCTCTGTCGCCTGTTCATATCAATAATATATATAGAGAGACCCTACAAAATGGAGGCTTTTCGAGATTTAATATTAGTCTATTTATATATAACTTAATGCCCACACATGCATACACTATTTATGTGCATGTACTCTCTCAAGAAGCCGCACACAGAAAACCATCTGCCAAATCCAATGTGGTTCCCCCTGTTTTTCTTTTACGTGTTAATTTTCAAATATGCATTATATTAAATATATATATAGTACATATAAGAGTATCTTGGACGTACGTGTCTTTTTCTTTGCCGTTATGACATTTAGTCATTTAGTTATAGAGTTTAAATCATATTGTATTGTGTTCAATTATTAAGACACGAAATGAAGTACAAACATCAATTTGAATTGCTTGAAAGATGAAACAAAGTGCAGGTACATTGATCAGAGAGAAAAAGTTGGAAGGGTTGACGGACACATGAGGAAATAAGAATGATCAAGTAGGGGAAAAAAATGAAGAGAAGACAAGATCGAAGAGAGCACGAGGAGCACAGTGGGAAAAACTATGGCTGGGACATTACGTGGCTGAAAATGGTCCGTACGTAGAGAGAGAGAGAGAGAGCATGGGCAGTTTCCTGGTGGTATTATTGAAACCACCTTTCACAGCCCACAATATCTCAATCAAATCCACCCTTCTTTCTCTGTTTTTTTTCCCCCGGTGAATGTCCTTTCTCTTTTTATATTTACATGCTTGCCTTCATTTAAAAGAAAATGATGGTATATTCAATTGAAATAATCCATTTGGCTGTGTCGTTTTATATTCCGAGACAGGTTATAACATAAGTTCCTCTGAAAACTTGTTTGGATTTATGATCAATAAATGTGTATATGCAAGCCGTCGAGACAAAAAAATTTTATATGAAAAGCTGCTTATAAACAGGTTTTAAGTCTGTGATGCCTAGACCGAACTTTACCATTAATAATCAGGGACTTGCTGCATACACACACATTGATATACGTTATAAGTGAAGATAAATTATAAATTTTATTTACTTTTATTTTGATCCTAAATATAAGATTTTAATCGACTTTATCTCTCATATTTATATTTTTTTTTTAAGTAGTGTTTCTGATAATGATAGTTCTAACCAATACACTTAATTAGTAAGAATATTTTAAAAAAAATAACACCTATTTAGAATAAATAACTAACTCAATTTATTTTTTTAATTTTATCAAATTAATTAATTAGTTTTTATAATTAGAATTAGAGGTGTTGCATGAATATAATGAACGGGGCGATGTGTGGACTCGGTCAATAACACCAAATCATTAAAAGAAACTTGGTTTTTTGAAACTTCACGGTTGTCATATCAGACAAGACTAAAATGTTTTGTCGTTTAGGCATTTGGGGATTTGCTGATACAGTGTTTTTTTTGGGGGGGGGGGGGTGTCCAAAGATAGGCAATCACCG